ACATTAAATAAAATTCATCGTGATGATTTATTACATGTTTTTCAACTCTATCCTGATTTTGCACAATCATTTGCAGAACGATTTCGAGTTACATTTGATCTTCGACAAGTAAAAACAAAGAATTTCTTTTCTTTCAAAAAGAAATATTTATCTATTATTTTTAGTGTGAACTAAATGAATCAAAACCATTTTATAAATTAGATGATGAAATTCAAACACTTATTCGACAGCATCGTCCAAAATTACAAACTGATCGACAATTAAGTTTATTAAGTCAACATGAAGAAGGTAAATTATTAAAACAAAACCTCAAAATTCATAAATAAATCATATTTTCTATATTTATCTAAAAGCCAATAGACTTGCTGCATTACATTCATATCGTGGTGTTCGCATGAGTCTCGATGGTGGTAGACGACGACCTATAAGTACTATTGTTGAATTATCACCTGATCAAGCAAATACATCTTCTGAAGATTTGCAATTTGGTCAAGAAGTACCAAGAATGTCATTAACACCTTTAGCTCAGGGTAAAAATTTTGTTTTTTTTGTTGTTGATAATAAGATTTGTTTTATATGTTTAGGAACATTGACAAATGTTTTTTCAACAATTGTTGCCATGTCAAAAAGAGCTAAAACTAATATTGTAACTTTTCAAGAAGAAGAAGAAGAAGAAAAAGAACAAGAGAAATTACCACTAACAACTGAAACAAATTTTGTAACAGAAAAAATAAAGTATGAAATTTCCAAAAATACTATTTTTGTCAAATAGAAGAAAAAAAAAGTTTCTTCATAGATCAATGCGAAAATATGAAACAGGTCCAATACGAAGTATGGCAGATGTTGATGCAGAATTATCTCTTCTGCAAAGGTAAAGATATAAATAAAATATTTTTATCAATTTATAATGTTCATATTATCTTTTTTTTTTTTTTGTTTTTAGTCGTTTTGATTGTCTAGAACGAACGATAGATGATAAAATGAAACTATTATTCGATTTTGCAAATAATATTTCAATAACTAATAATAATCATCAATCTAGTAATCTCAATCAAACAAATGATACAAAAGATAATAAAAATCGTTTTGGTAATTGATAAATTAGTTTTTACAAAAGAAAAATATAAAAACAAATATAATTGATAAATAACTATTGTATTATTTTATTAAATAAAATTTCAAGTATAATTATTCTCTCAGGAATGAATGATTTTCATCGAACAGTTCAATATATATTGATAAAATGTGTAATAACAAAAAAAAAAAGAAAAAGAAAACTTAATCATATTCAAGAAAAATAAACGCTAAAATAAGGCAGAAAATTATGTTATGTTACAATTTCATTATTCCATCAATCACAAATCTAATTGAATCATCGTCTTACTATTCTCACATCGTTAAAATCGATATGACTGCTACAATAGAAATGACAGTGATTATTTTGTCTATTTTTAGCATTGCCTATGTTTATCTATTGATGATCAAATCAAATGAATAGTTTCTATAGTATAAAAGCAGAAAAAGGTAGATTTGTAAAAGAGAAACTTTTGGAAAATTCCTTTTTTATTATGTATATTCACATCAACTGATGAAAAGTATTTAGAACAAACAAAAAAAAAAATAGAAACAAGATTTCTTGTCGAGATATATCGATAGATTTTATGATTATTTCAATATGAGTTTCTAACAATGATATCAAGATAATATAAGTTGAAAAAATGAGACTTTTCTAAAACATTGAGTTCAACTGTATGCAGAAATATGATGACAGTGGAATTTTAAATGGATGTTATTAGAAGATATTATTTTTATCAGACTTTTTCTATCTTATAGACTAATATATAGATATGAAATCGATAACAGCCAATCAAGTATGCACATCTACTATTAGAAACAAATTACAGTTTGGATGAAGTTGATTCGATTTGAAAAGTTTCAAAGATAATATTATTAAGATTAATTTAAATGTAATTCTTACATGATTTAACAGCTATAATAATATTATTATAAATTTCAATTGAAGAAGCTACATTCGGATTTCTATTCAC